GTTCAGCGACACAAAAACGACTAAGTCAGGCATCACACACAGAGACCCAGTGTCTTACCATTCTCTGAAGCACACACACACAGTTAACTGAAGACTTAGTCCCTAGGCTGAGATGGCTCACAGATCTACTAATGAGGTCAGAAGAGCGTGCAGTACTTAGAATGGTGTTGAGAACTTTCCATTAACTTGTATTGCATTCATGTCCTAGAAATGACTGAAACACAAGACCTTAAAATATTAGCATCTGACTACAATCCAAGACCAAAGTCCACAAAAGGCAAACTTCATGAATTTCTGGCCAGTGAATCCAGACACAAGTCCACTGGGTCAAGTGGTCTCATGTACCCAGATGACAGCAGGCTGACTGATGGGTGTCCCACAAGGTTAAGATGCTGAGAGCCAAATGTGGAGCCAAAGGAATAACTGGTTCCTATTTATGTGATCACGAACACTGCAGACCCTGAAATAAATCACCCACTCATTACGCACTCTTCTGGTGGTACTACACATTTTCATGGCACTGCTGCCTAATTTGCTGCATTGGGGATAGATGTATAATCATATTATTAAGTAACGGTAACTGCTGCTCATTAGGCATATCTTCAGTGCCAGATACTAGCTCTCACCCCCTCAATGCTATAAAGCGTTTTAACTGTTCCCATAAGAAGCTCAGGGGTCTCTGACAAAGCAGGAGTTAGAACTCCAAATACTCCAGCTAACACTGCACCGCTCGCATGTCCTTTGTCTCTTCCTGTGGATACAGCCTGTCAGTTCCTCCTGGGCTCCTGACTCACCCGTGAATCACTCTTCATCCTAGTTGACATTATTGATTCCTAATCAGACAGACTGGATTCTTCAGTCTTCTGACCTCAGAATAATATTAATTAAACTCTACTACTTATAGCCATTTCATGCCAATACTTTTTACACTTCCTAAGTGTGCGGCAAAGGAATTAGAAGTAAGGCTTGTAAGAGGTGCACAGAATCACTGAGTGGTTGCTATCGCACCCCTGCACGGAAGGGCGCCTTCCAGGGCAGAAGCTGAGTCTCCCTCACTTTTGAAAGGCCAAGCCTAACACATTGCTGCTGCCCAACACACCTGCGAGTTGTTTGTTGTTTATTTAAAGAGACAATGTCTACCTGTGTTTCCTAGGATGGCTCCAGATGTCTGGGCTCAAGTGATCCTCTTGCCTTAACCTCTTACATATCTGCACTACAGCGGTACATGATTGTGCTCAGCCTTACAATGACTTTTTTTGTAAGTTTGGAATCTAAAAAATAGTATCTAATTTCGATTGTGGAGTTGTATCCATTACCCACAAGATCCTAATCTCTTACTAAGGAGTATCTCAATGTCTGATCCCAGTTTACCACTGGATTAATTTCTCTGTTCCCAACTTCACTTTATTTGGTTTACTCCTACCCATACACTGCCATTGTGTCTACAGACTGTGGGATCACTAGCACCCATCCTCCTGAGTATCTGTCTCTCTGTCTCTCTCTGTCTCTCTCTCTCTATATATATATATATATGTACATATAGATATATATGCACATGTAAACATATATGACATCTGTCCGTGTAATCTGGCAAGGTTAGGTGAACAGTATATTGCACCAGCAACAGCAGCCTGAGAAAAATAAAATTATTACAGATTCTGTGTTTATTTAATGCTTTTTTTCTTTAAAATAAGTCCCTGTAGATGAGGCTGGAAAAAATATGTATGTGTTATATATATTTCTGTGGAGACAAGAAAGAGGAGAGGAGAGAAGGGAAGGGAGCAGGGGAGAGAGACGGGGTAAGCAGCGAGGCAGACGTGGCGCAGTTTATCAGAGTGAAAAGAAGTACCTGCAAACAACACGGAGTCAAAGAGAATATCTCTTTTTCTTCATACAGAATATTTCTAAGCTGCAAAGGAGCCTCAGTATTAGGCTAGTTTTGAGTTATCTAGCTCAAGGATTCTAAACACTGAATCAGAAAAATTAGCTCCCCTGGCCACAGAGCCCATCCATATAGGGCAGAAGAACAGCATGAATTGGTTTGGTCTGTCTCTGTCTCTGTTTGTCTGTCTGTCTCTCTCTCCCTCCTTCTCTCCTCCTCTGCTACTCTTTGAGGCAATGCCAGATTGCTCTGTGGGACAAAGATATGGAAGGCTGGCATCTGGGCTACTCCGACTCTTACGGGAAAACATGAATCTAAAATATCTCTCTTGGTTTGTTTCTATTGTCAAGATTTGGTGACATCTGGCAAAGGCCTCATGCTGCCTCACAACATGGCAGAAAAGCAGAAGGGTAAGTGGGTGCAAACAGAAGGAAGAGAACAGGAAGGGTGGCTTTGAGGTATAACAACTCCATCTGGAGGTAGTCGATCTCCATGAGAGTAGCATTAATCCTTTTTAACCTAATCAGCTCACAAGGACCTGACCTCCCGACACTCTTGTGCTAGGAATTAAGCTTCCAAAAAATGAACTAGGTGGGGGGATCCCCTCAAACCACAGCAACGTCTAGTAGAAAAGATGGTGCAAAGAAAGTACAGTGTTGAAAGACCAAATACAAACTCTGCTGACTTGTTCATTTTCACTTAGCTGGAAAGAAGAAAACCAGAAGCGAAAATAAATATGAGAATCGAAGTATAACATAACGTTCAGCCTCATTTACAGGGATTTATTTTAAAGAAAAAAAAGCATTAAGTAAACATGGAATCTGTGTAATGTTTTGCTTTTCTCAGGTTGCTGTTCCTACCATAGTGTGCACCTAACCTTGCCAAATTACACTGACATATGTCACGTATAGTTTACCTGTACTCAGTTTTATCTTTCCAGTTTAGAGAAGTATTTCCCCTTAAAAACTCCCAACATTAAGCAAAAATAAAGCTCCATGAAATCCTATTGAAGAAAAGTCTTGAACTCTAATTTTGATCCCCGAGACACACCGATGTTGAGAACTTACTAACATTTTCAGGCTCCCACGAGACGCTCAAAGCAAAGAGAAAGGGTTTTAGCACTTCAGTTTCCATCCAGTACTACAATTTGCAGTGTTTTCTGCCAGCAGTTGGAAACCACCTCTAAGAGGAAGCATCTTATTTGGAATGCAGGTCCCACATTTCTGTTCCAAGATGCACATACCCATCATAAGAAATTCTTGCTGCACAAACCTCAGAGATATTAGAAATTAGGCAGAGCAACCAGATGACATCAAAATAGCACTGTACGGACAGCTACACAGCACTGGGACTCAGGAGAACCAGACTGTAGGCTGTACTGTGTCCCTAAAGGGTATGAAGTCTTAGGAAAATTCCACTACTTCACTGGATTTTATTCTCTTCAGTGACACAGTGAGGAAACTGGATAAATTGACTTACAAGTTTTCTTCTTGCTTACCTATCCTAAGGCCTACATGTATTTAACAACTCTAATCCACCCAGGGTATTTTTTCATTTCTACTCCTCTCCATCCCTGTGGTTATGGGGCACTTTCTCTGTGGGTGGGACAGGGCACCTGTCTGCAGGACCTCCATTCCAGCGGTGACACCTTCCCGATATTAATGGACCTATAGTCCAAATAGGGAACTAAGTACACAGCACAGTGGCATACACAGAATATGCTCTGCAGTGCAACTTTGTGTGTCAGAGAATGGTTTAGACTCCGTAGTTTCTCATTCCTAAGAGGGAGGCATAACAAGATTGTCTTACTTCTAAGGGGGTCTACATTGTTTCAAGTGAGTTCTTGGGTCACTAGAATGTTACTCTGAGAAAACAGGTCACAACACTGAATTTTGGATAGTATACTATTCTTTTCCACTCCTCAGATATTAGACATCTTTAGATAGGACTGATTTAGAGACAACCAATTTATTTTTAAGGCTGTACTATTGTGTTATATTATGGCAAGGAGTCATTATCCTAGTCCCTAATGTGATATATTTACTGCCTTGATGTTTCCCTGCACTATCCCATTCTACCTACTTCCTCTACAGATTTCCTTCTATCCCCAAGAGTTTTGCAACCCACTGAATGAGATAATTTCCTTTGTTTTCCAAAGTCTACACAGATTTCCCTCCCCTCCCCCACTGCTAACATCCACCTATCAGTAAAGAAAAATGGACCCGAGGCGTTGGACTTAATGAGTTTGCCATAACCACATTACAAGGGAAGAAAGAACAAAATGCTTCCCTTTAATAAGGATGTAGGACTTCCTCTGGCAAATCATAAAAGTTTTATTAATTAATTGATAGCTATTCCCAAAAATGGCATTTCCGAGGTCTCTACCTTGAGCTGCTACTTTCTGATCTTACAGTCTTCACAAAACAGTCAACTCGGGAACATGATTCAGTCTTCCTGCTTCTTTCTCAAGGCAAAACAGGGACATACATCAAAGGGTCCTTTCAGAGGAGCCACTAATGAGTTCTAGGACAGCAGGGTCTGTGCTGCCAAGCGAGCGCTCACAAAAATGGATGAGCCTCCTCCATCTTGCGGACGAGATGATTAACAATTACAGATCCAAAAGCATTTTTGTGCTCTGTGTGGATAGCTTTCCACATGGGTAAAGGAGCTCGAGTCTTTAACATACAAACAATAATAAAGAAAGAAAAGCAAAAGGGTGGGGGGGGGTGGAGTTACCCACTTCAGTAACAGTTCACAAAGTTTTAAAGTAAAACCACAAAGCACCCTCTGCAGACACTGCAAGGAGCTAAGACAGCATGAACAACAACGCCAGGCAAACTCTCCGAAATGGGGCGTCCAGGTCTGCCTGCACGGGGTACCCATCTGAGCTTCCTCACATCTGTTTTGGAAAGAACAGTTTTTTGAAATAAGTGAAACTAAACATTTCTTGTAATTCTCTTCTCTGAAAGTTGGTTTTGGAAATACTGTATTTAGGTGAGTCCATCTTCCTCATAACTATACACTCTACCCAAGATTTTGCTAAGAAATATCAGCAAATCCTCAAGAAGCCCCACTACACTGTCTGAAGCTGGAAGATGATAAGAAAAATTATTCTTACCTCTGAACCATGCTCGCAGCTCATTTAAAGGGACTGGAGAGAACGCGTGGGACAAAGGACACATGTATTACGCACCGTGGGGTGTGTGTGTTCTCCAACTACGGGCTGCTGCAAGTGGGACCTAAAACCCCCGACGCCTTCCGCTGCCATATAATCTCAAGGAAATGACCTTAGCGTTTGTTGCTTTGATTAGAAACAAAAGCCTTTCAACACAAGTCAGGAGGGGAAAAAACCAACTGCAAAAGTCTGCTGTTTCCTTTGGCCACCTAAAGTTTCTCTTCGTTTTAAATTTAAAACACACGATGAAATGTTACTCGTTTCCCAACTTCAGTGTTAATGTGTGATGGAAGCTGGGTGATTACTCAGAGGTACCGGTTTAAACCTAAATTCCAGCTCATCGTTGTGTGCAGACTCTGGGCAAGGGGATTTATGGGTGGAAATGAAAATACTATGTAACCGAACTAAGTTCCCTGCAAGCATTTCATGTCAATAGCTTTACCACTCAGAATTCCACGAGATCACCTTGTCATGTCAGTTGGCATCAGAGATGTCAGCCTTGAACCAGAAATCTTGAGGGAATGACTGCAGACTTAGAAAGGATTTATTTTTTTTTATCTGAATTTCACAATTGTCATTTACTGTTGAAATTACTCAGTGAATAGAAAACAATCAAAATACTTTATACTTTAAGATGAAGCAAGAGAAAATATATAGAATCCAGGAAAATAATACATTCACTTTTTTCCTTTATAGAATCGTTAAGTAAAAGCTCATGAAATGGTATATCATGCTTCTCCGACCTGAAAAATGGAGCTTCTGAAATTTTATGTGAGGAGGTGTTAAGGGAAAGTGACTGTTTCTCTGAACCAGTTCTCTCCTCTGCGAAATGAAGACAAAAATCCCCACCTCATAAGGAAATTGGGGGAATTAAATGAGATGATGGATGCAAAAAACAAAGAATTTTTAAGGCATATAAAGAGCAAGTGTGCTAACTCAAGTGTCTCCTCCTGTTCTTGTAAGCCACGAATGCCATCAGAGTACCAATCCTAATGACATCCCCAAGGCCCATTTTCCAAATACCATCATCATGTAAGTATGGAGATCATGTTCCCAACATGTGAATTCTAGGGGGTAAATGTTTAAACTCTAGAAAAATTCCATCAAAAATGAAATGATGGGGGCTGGAGATTTAGCTCAGCGGCTTAAGCGCCTGCCTTGTAAGCAGGCGGTCGTGAGTTCAATCCCCGGTACTGATAAAAAAAAATGAAATGATGTCCTGGAGTAGGTCCAAATGAAAGATAAGCATATGGGAAACTATGACCATAAAATACAAAGTGTGACCCAGTTGGATGACCACCTTGTTGGTGGGCTTGGACAGGTGTCCTAGTGATTTTCTGCTATATTTTACTTTCCCTGGAAGTGACATAAGAGAAATATGCACACCAATTTAGGGAAAAATATGTGGGTATAGGGTCTCAATTTTTAAAGGAATAGAAGATCTTAGGGAGTTTTTATGAGAAGCTTTGCATTTGTCACAAAATGATTGCTTCCACCCCAGAACACTGCCAAAGGACTGCCAGACACACCATAAAATCCCAATACAGTGTCGCACAGCATTTTCCCAAGACTAACAGCCAATACAGCACCAAACCATCTGTCATAAACGAAGAGTGAAGTGTTAGATTGGCTTATCTCCTCCTAAATGTAGTAGGGTCCCTCTAAAGAAACGACCGTTCCCTTCATAGCGCCTCAACTCCTCCAGCTCTGCTGCTAGAGCTAGTCTGGTTCAGTTCAAATATTCCCTAGGTGCCAAGCGCACAAGAGGACCTGCAGGGCAGTCAGAGATGAAAACACCACATTCCAACCAGCAACCAGTTTTCTGCCCGGGCCTGCTGTCTCCGAGGAATCCAGTGATGGATGTATCTGTTACCTCAGCTGCAACTGTGCTCTGAGGAACACCACAGACCCCTCTCACTCACGCTGGTTTCTGCTGCTCATCTGTCATCCGTCTGTACCTGGTGTTCTCCTTAGATTTACATTCATTCCAGCAAAGACTTCTTTGGGTATCTATTAGGTGTTAAGCAACAGGGAACTTGTGATCCCAAAGGACGCTGTGCTCAGAAGGGCCTCATGCTTGGTCTGGTGTTCTGCTCTTAGATTTTTTTTTATTTTAAAGATAGTAAAATATAACAAAACAAGACAGGACAAAGCCAATCAAGACAATGCAGTGATGTCTTCTGCTCTTACTACATTATTTTTAATCTGCCCCCCTCCCCACCAACGGTGTAGAGGGATACTAGACTGAACCCAGGGCCTTCACACTGAGTTACACCTGAAGTCCTTTATAAAGCTTTTTCTTTATTTTGAGATAGTCTTGTTAATTGTTCAGGCTGTACTTGAACTTGTGATCCTCCTGCTTTAGCCTCTAAGAGTGCTGGGATTATAGGAATGTGCTACCATGCCTGGCTATAATTTATACTAATTTTTGAACAGGGGCTCCACCTCCTCATTTTGCATCAGGCACTGTAGATTATGTGGCTAGTTCTCCTTGGCACTGGGTCAGGTGGCAGGGACACAGGAGTATGCAGGAGAGGAGGCTAGGGATAGAAGTAAGCAGTATGCATGCTGATTTCACATAAGGGCAAGAGCTAGGAAACAAACAGAGCCAGAGGCCAAGATAAAGAAGGTTCAGGGTGCTGGGTGGTGCGGGTGACATGGTAGGCTATGACTGGAGGTGACAGAAGAGCTAGCAACAGAGGCAGCTGGGGCCAAACACAGGATCGTTCTGTTCCCCTCAAAGCTACAGTACACGGCACCTGGAAAGCTCTCAACTACTATTTTGAATGAATAGAACTTCTGTTTAAAAAGAAAAATCACCAAATACAGAAAAACAACTCATAATTTACTAGGAGCTGGGACTGATCGATAAGGAACACTCCAAGTTTACTTAAGGTCTCTTAGAGATGGCATGTTTTAGCAGTTGGAGGGGTACACCCTGTCCAGGAAAAACAGCCACATGGAAAAGTCCGTTACTCACACTCCCTTCCAGGCAGAAAAAGAGGGAAGTTCCTTGCTTCGGGTGGATTCTCTTGCTTTCTTAACCACAAAGGGAAAAACAGAAGTGAAAAGCATTTGGGAGAGAGGCGGGCATGGCGGGCTTTCCTTTTTGTCTGTCTTTCAGGGGAGGCCATGACTTCTGATTTAGCTTTACCATAGGTATGTGCAGTTTTCAGGTGATGGAAAGGAATTTAGGAAAATCCAAGCACTTCTATATATGTGAAACATAAATATAAAAGCCACTTAATTTCAATTTAGAAATCTATTTATTTTAAAGAGGCGAAAACAAAATACAAGAAAAACAAGAAACAAAAGGGATAAATAAATAACAATAATAAAAAAAACCCAAAACAATAACAACACAGACTTTCAAAACAAAGTGGTAGGAACTTAACAAAGGTTGTTATTCTGTATAGTTATCTTCAAGAGTTATTCCGATTACCAGATATAGACATGTAAAATTGATCTAATCCTGAGTGTTGACTGTTTTGTTCCAAGAATTAATTAGTAGTACAATCATATTAGTTATCTTAAGTGTATATACAAATTTATATCTTTTTTCTTTTCCTTTTCTTCTTTCTCTTTTTCCCTATCCAAGTTAGTTTTCCCCTTTGAGCAGTTTCTTACCCTTTCACAATATTTATTTAAGATTTTGTATCTTATTTATTCTTTCAGTTTCTTGCACTAGAGAGACACCACAGTATTTACACATGTGAGTTGATTTATTTCACTTATGAGTACAGTCTGATGTTGCATCCATTTACTTATAAAAGCCTCAATGTGATCTCTCTTTATAGCTGAGTAGTACTCCATTGTATAAAAATAGCTGTTTTTAAAAATCCATTCCTCAATTAATGGGTATTTGTGTTGTTTCCAAGATTTGGCTGTTACAAATTGTTCTGCTATAAACATAGGTACACATATAACACTCTGGTATGATGTTTTCAATTCTTATGGAAATATGCCCAGAAGCAGGATAGCTGGGTCAAGTGGGACCTCCAATCCCAGCTTTTTGCAGAATCTCTGCACTCGTTTCCACAATGGTTCCACCAGTCTACACTCCTACCAGCAGGGTAGAAGTGTTCCTTTTTCCCCACAGCCTCTCCAGCATTTGTTATTGATGGTTTTCTTGATCCTGGCCATTCTTTCTAGAGTGAGAAGGAATCCAATGTTGTTTTAATTTGCATTTCTCTAATGATCAGTGATACTAAACATTTTTCACATATTTATTTGCCACTTGTATTTCAACTGAGAAGTGTGTGTTCCTCTCATATTCCCATTTTTGGATTGAGTCTTTGAATTTTGGGCACCTGACTTTTTAAATTCTCTACACGTTCTAGATAGAAGTCCTTTGTCTGAGGGACAGTTGACTGAGATTTTTTTCCCAATTCATAGATTTTCTTTTCACTTAGTTGGAGATTTCTTTTGACATGTAAACACTTTTTTTAATAAGACAAGATCCCAGTTATTCATTCTGAAAGTATTTTCTGTGCATTTGATTTTTGTTCATGAACTCTTTGCCTACCCCTATGTCTTCAAGGTTTCTACTTATCTTGTCTTCCAGCAGATTTAGTGTTTCTGTTCTAATATTTAGATCTTTGATCCATTTTGACTTTAGTTTAGTGCATGGTGATGGGCATGGGTCTAGTTTAGTTTTTGACATATGGAAAGCCAGTTTTTCCAGAACCACTTATTAAAGATGCTCTCTTTCTTCCAGTGAACATGTTTGGTCCCTTTGTCAAAGATAAGGTGGCTGAATGTGTTTGTAGCTGTAGTTGTATCTTCTAATCTATTCTACTGATCTTCAGTCTGTTTTATCATGCTGATTTTATCACAATAGCTTTGTAGTATAACTTCAACTGAGGGATTGTGATGGCTCCTGCCTTGCCTTTGTTGCCCAAAATTGCCTTCGCTATTCTAGGTCTCTTCTGGTTTCAGATGAATTTTAGGAATGATTTCTCTAGACCTGTGAGATACGTAACTATATTTTGATTGGAATTGCATTAAATTTTGGGAGAATGGGCATTTTCACAATGTTTGTTCTTCCATGAACAAGGAATGTCTTTCCATTTTCTGAAATCTTTTTACAGAGTACTGTAATTTTCACTGTATAGATCTGTTACTTCCTTTGTTAGACTGATTCCTAAATATAGAAATATATTTTTATACATGAGAAATTGAACTCAGTACCAAAAGTACTCCACTGAAGACAGAATAGAACTTGAGTCCTGAATCCACATTTTTGAGTACAGCCTTCTCAGGTGGCTACTGTGGAGAATGTGAAACTCGGCCAGTGTTAATATTTGGACATTCTGATAGATTCCTTCCTATCTTTCTGCAGACTCTGGAGTGGTTTTTTCCCATTTTCCTTCTCTTTTTCCCTTTGCATTTTCCTTAGTTAATGTTTCTTTTGTTGCTGAAACAAAACACCCAATGCCCAAAGTTAAGGGAGGAAAGATTTATTTAGCTGAGTTGGTAGAAATTTCACTTCATAATCAGCTGGCTCCAGGGTGGCTTGGCAGAGGAGAACAGTGCATGGCAGGCAGAATGTAGCAAAGCAACGATGGACCTCAATAGCATCTTTCAGTCCCTTTTATGCTGTATACAACTGCTGGGACTAGAGTGGTGCCAAGACAATTAATGGGCTGATTTAGTAATCACACACC